TGGCCCAGTGGTTCTTGAGAAGAAGATGAAAATGCGAAAAGTTTACGACAACAACAACGACGACATACAACAGACAAATTTTTATCAGAAAAGCTCACTTGAGCCTTCGGCTCAGGTGAGCTAACAATATGTAACCCATTGTTCATGGACACAAATTCTGATCTCATTAAACAAAGACAATGTATAATCCATTACAAATAGGCACAAACTCTTACCACATAAAACACAGACATTGTGCAACCCATTATTCTTTACTTTTACACAAACTCAGACCACATAAAACACAGACAGTATGTTACCCCATTGTTCATGGACACAAACTGACCACATAAAACACAGAGAGTATGTAACCCATTGTTTATGGACACAAAAGTTAAAAATTACGCAAGGACACAAACTCTGACCACATTAAAACACAGACAATGTGTAACCCATTACTCATGGACACAAACTCTGACCACATAAAACAAAGACAATATGTAACCCATCGTTCATTGACACAAACTCTGACCACATATAACACAGATAATGTTTTACCAATTGTTCATTGACACAAACTCTAACCACATAAACAAGAGGCCCATGGGCCACATCGCTCACCTGAGAAGCTTTGACCATTCTGTTCTTTTCCAGATTTCCCCCTTGTTATACATAATGCATCCCCACCCTACCCCACTGATCATAATTTAGACATTTTGAAATCTACACTACCCCATGATCCTTCCATGGGCACATATGTTTAAGCTTTTTTGGCCCAGTGGTTCCTGAGAAGAAGATTTTCAAAGATTTTTCCTATATATTTCTATGTAAAACTTTGATTCCCTATAATGGCCCCACCCTTCCCCCGGAGGTCATGATTCCTACAATTTAGAATCTACACTATACCAGGATGCTTCCACATAAGTTTCAGCTTTTCTGGCCCAATGGTTCTTGAGAAGAAGATTTTCAAAGATTTTTCCTATATATTTCTATATAAAACTTTGATTCCCCATTGTGGCCCCGCCCTTCCCCCAGGGGTCATTATTTGAACAATTTAGAATCTACATTATATCAGGATGCTTCCACATAAGTTTCAGTTTTTCTGGCCCAGTGGTACTTGAGAAGAAGATTTTCAAAGATTTTTCCTATATATTTCTATGTAAAACTTTGATTCCCCATTGTGGCCCCGCCCTTCTCCCGGGGGTCATGATGTGAACAATTTAGAATCTACACTATACCAGGATGCTTCCACATAAGTTTCAGCTTTTCTGGCCCAATGGTTCTTGAGAAGAAGATTTTCAAAGATTTTTCCTATATATTTCTATATAAAACTTTGATTCCCCATTGTGGCCCCGCCCTTCCCCCAGGGGTCATTATTTGAACAATTTAGAATCTACATTATATCAGGATGCTTCCACATAAGTTTCAGTTTTTCTGGCCCAGTGGTACTTGAGAAGAAGATTTTCAAAGATTTTTCCTATATATTTCTATGTAAAACTTTGATTCCCCATTGTGGCCCCGCCCTTCTCCCGGGGGTCATGATGTGAAGAATCTACATTATATCAGGATGCTTCCACATAAGTTTCAGCTTTTCTGGCCCAGTGGTTCTTGAGAAGAAGATTTTCAAAGATTTTTCCTATATATTTCTATGTAAAACTTTGATTCCCCATTGTGGCCCCGCCCTTCCCCCGGGGGTCATGATTTGAACAATTTAAAATCTACACTACCCCAGGATGCTTCCACATAAGTTTCAGCTTTACTGGGGCAGTGGTTCTTGAGAAGAAGATTTTTTAATGACCCAACCCTATTTTTGTCTTTTCTTGATTATCTCCCCTTGCGAGGGGATATGTCCCTTCATTTTAACAATTTAAATTCCCCTTCACCCAAGGATGCCTTATACCAAGTTTGGTCAAAATTGGCCCAGTGGTTCTTGAGAAGAAGTGGAAAATGTGAAAAGTTTAGACGGACAGATAGACGGACAGACAGACAGACAGACGGACGGACGACGGACAAAATGTGATCAGAAAAGCTCACTTGAGCCTTCGGCTCAGGTGAGCTAAAAACAGAAAATGTATATTTCATTACACATGGACACAAACTCTGACCACATAAAACACAGACAATATGTAACCCATTGTTCATGGACACAAACTGTGACCACATAAAACACAGACAATATGTAACCCATTGTTTTTGGACACAAACTCTGACCACATAAAACACAGACAATATGTAACCCATTGTTCTTGGAAACAAACCCTGACCACATAAAACACAAACAATGTATAACCCATTATTCTTGGACACAAACTCTGACTACATAAAACACAGACAATATGTTACCCATCTTATTGACACAAACTCTGACCACATATTATAACACAGATAATGTGTTACCAATTGTTCATGGACACAAACAAGGTCCAAGGAAAGGTCAAGGTCAAAAATGTTGATGCAGTTGAATAGCATACATCAGTATGTATCAACATATGAAGTTTGATTACAGTATCTTGAATAGTATCTTTAAATCTGAGCTAAACTCTAATTTAAGAAAAGTGAGGTCAAGGTCAAAGAAAACGTCAAGGTCAAAAAATGTTGATGCAGTTGCATAGCTCTCATCAATATCTATCAGCATCTGAAGTTTGATAAAAATATCTTGGATAGTTTCTTGAAACTCAGCTTTGAACAGAGCTTAACGTACAGTAAGAAGGAAGGACAGATGGAAGGACGGAAGTCGGACATGACAAACACTATATGCCCCAGCCATATTCATGGCAGGGCATAACAAACAATGTGTAACCCATTACCCATGGACACAGTCTGACCACATAAAACAGACAATGTGTAACCCATTACCCTTTGACACAAAGTCAGACCACACATAAAACAGACAGTATGTAATTCCATTATTCATGGACACTATGCATGAATTAACTGCATTTTGAATCAAATTAAAGATAAAAAAAGATTCTGTTAACTTTAACTAATTTTTTTATTGAAGCTTAAGATTTGCTTTTAAGTGATAACATAAGAAATATGTCTTTTCAAACACACACACAAAATTAAAACAAAATTTGGTTCATCTCAAAAGTACAAGAGTTCAACTTTACACCACCATTTTTTTTTCCTTAACAGATTACAACAGTACATGTTAGAGTTTTTCATAGATATTATGGAATTGGAAAAGGAATTCCTAAATAAGAATACTGTTAAAATGAGACTGTAAATCTGTGAGCCAATGCTCACTAGTAATACCCCCGCCCTGATGTAAATAAACAACTATTATGCTAATTTACACAAGTTCAATTACAGGCAGATGCACAGAAAAATTTGAAGTTGACATCAGAATCATTTCAAAATTAATCCCACCATATGGCATGCCTCAACAAAGAGTGTACTAAAATTAAGCATCTGCTATTAATAGTAAACGAGAAACACAGACAAACAGGAAGTTGACATTGGATTTTGTGTTAAAATTTCAAGCATCTGCGATAAGTAGTTGCCGAGAAAACAAGCATCTACAATAAGTAGTTGCTGAGAAAACTGGGACAAAAATTTGTTATGTATGAAATGGACAAACGCACAGATAAACAGAGAGTTGACATCAAATATGAATAAAAATGAATTCAACCATATGGCATGCCTAGGAAAAAGATTGTGTTAAAATTTCAAGCATCTGCAATGAGTAGTTGCTGAGAAAACTGCGACAAAAATTTGTTATGTATGAATCGGACAGACGTACAAACAAACAGGAAGTTGACATCAGATTTTAACAAAAATGTATCCCAACATATGGCATGCCTCAGAGAATACTGTGTTAAAATTTCAAGCATCTGCAATGGGTAGTTGCTGAGAAAACTGTGATGAAAATTTGTTATGTATGAATCGGACAGACGTACAAACAAACAGGAAGTTGACATCGGATTTAAACAAAAATGTATCCTAATGTATGGCATGCCTCAGAGAAGATTGTGTTAAAATTTCAGGCATCTGTGATAAGTAGTTTCTGAGAAAAGTGCGACGAAAATTTGTTACGGATGGACACACAGCTACACAGACACACGGACACAAAGACACAGGGACGGACGGACACACAAGGGTAAAACAGTATACCCCCCTCTCCTTCGGAGCAGGGGTATAATAAGACTGATTTGACAGTTCTATCTAACAACAAAAGCTATCAGCTTAATACTTGAAACTATTTATACAAACAAAATCCTACCGGACTCTATGTTTTATAATCTATAAGCTCATTTTTCAAAATGCATCAAGTAGGACACTTTTTTCTTAATAGTCTCCCACTTTCTTCTTTGCAAAACACCATTCTTCTCTTTACTCTTGCGAATACTTTCTTTACATTCCTCCCTTCCTGGGCATTTCCTTGCAGAGGACCCGTCTAAGTAGCTACTGAAATATTCTCTAACCTCTTCCAGCTCCCTGCTGGTCCACTTCACTCTATCAGCTAAAAATATAGTCAAAGTTTCAAAGAAGAGTTGTTTGTATCAGAATTTAAAAGCTCAGTCAACAATTCTGAGCAAAGCATGATTTATTGATGGTCCTCCAATGAAAAGAATGAAATATGCAAGTGATCTACTGTACATTGTATATTGTGAAGAGTAAATTTAAAGTAAAACAAGGTAGAGGCCCTACAGTCCAGAATTGCTCTTCTGATTAACTGCACAACACTGTCAGTGTGACCTATATTTGGAACACCAGGCAGAGGCATCAGCTAACAGGGATTGAACTTTGATGTGCCTCAACCTTACAGTATCAAAGCTACAAATATTTATGAATAATGATAAAAAGAGCGATATATGTTAAGTGTCTCAATTGGCCCCTTAAAATGATTAATTTAATTTAACTTTATATATAGCTTTAATTTGTACAGATATATATGCGACCTTTAATGGCCATTTTTATTTTGATCAAAATGCTATTATTTTAGAAATATGACATCATGAAAATCATGTTTTCCCGCCATTTTAGCATATTTTGTATAAATCTGCTTATTTTCAAGCAGTTTTTCTCCCAGAAAATATAGAGCGCAGCCTAGAACAAGATTTATATTTTTACCAAAGATGTATCTTTTCAATACTAATTAGTGACAGAAAAATTATGTATGTTCTACACTGCACTCTATGTTTCCCATAAGAAAAAACATCAAGAAAAAGGCATATTTTTGGCTTTTTTGCTAAATAGCAAAAATAGCATTATTTCTAATGTCATTTACAGCTAGTGAGTGCATATAAATGTGAAAAATATATTAGAAATATTTCTAATATAATCTCTTCTACAAAATAAATTTCAATAAAATATATCTGAATGTCATTCTAAAATGTTGATTTTTACGGGGCCAAAATTGGCTCTTATCATATATACTCCTTTAACAAGCAAATTCAAAGAATTGTGGTCCCCAACTTTTGGTGTCTTAGTGGTTGGAATGCAATTATTTATGGCATATTGTAACTGACTTGTCAGGGATGTGATTGGCAGAGGAAGAAAAAGGAGGAAATGAAATCAGTCGGGGGTCTGGGGGCCGCTACAGGCCCCCAGTGGGTGCAGGGCAGCGCCCTGCTGGGGGGCCCAGGGGGGCGAAGCCCCCCGGAAGCTCCTGGGATTTCACATATTTTAAAGCTTAAAATTTAATTTCTAGAGATATCTGAGAGGCCATTTTTGACCAAGAAAAATGAAACTAAATTAACATTAAAATCCTTCATTTATTATCATGCAATTTCAATTGACCAATTATTTGTTTTATTTTTCTTTTTTTTCGGCCAAAGCCTTGAGAATTCTTAATCTTGCTTGATTGGCCTGCTGCTTTACATGGGCTTGCAGATCTTTTTCTGCTTCTACTTGAATTGTTAGCTTAGCTTTTTCTTCACTTGTGTTTTTCACTTGCAACTTATTAATCCTTTCCATTTCATCAATGATTTCTCTGAAATGTCCATTACTGCATTTAACTTGTACACATGAGTCCAACCAGTCCCAACAAAATTTATTTTAAACACTTTTGTTAATAATAGACACATCCACTTCTCTGTCCATGCTCTCCATGTTTTCATCCAGTCTTATTCAATAATGTGCTTTAAACCTCTCATAAATTGACTTCTCGTAAAACGTTTTAAAGACCGACACAAGTTATCTACACCTGACTTTGGTAAAACTAGATCCCATACCTTCACACACAGGAAAAACGAAAAAAACCTTTATTTTTTGCTGTTGATAAATATCTAATACTGTTATATACATCATCAACATATTTTACTATACTGATAATTATCACTATCAATCAAAATGACGATCTTGAAAGATTTAGTACCTCTAACCCCCCCCCCCCCATTTTCTCATTGGATTTGCATTGATCTCAAAAATGATCATAATTGACTTTAAAATTCGTGGAAATCCGCGTTTCCGCGGAAAAATCACATCCCTGCTTGTTTGTGTGTCCTGTCTTGTCTGTCCATCATAGAAAAAGATAATTAAAGTCAATTCTCGAATTCTCGCCATTCGATTCATCGCTATTCTCGCAATACTGCCATGATTTCTTAAGAACGTTTTTCCTGCTATATAAAATTCTCTTTACAATGCAAAATTCATATGCCGCCATCCGCCACCCTGTTTTCACAACAAACATCCATTTCAAAGTGTCAATTATCTCGATATACCACCACAGATGCATGTGACATATAGGCCCAAAGGGCCGGGTGTTTCTATACTATTGCTGAATTTATACAAATGCTTTTGTTTAACTTAACACATGTCACTGTAATAAATAAATACTACTGCATGTGGTTAGTGAAGCGACTAATTGGTTGTCGCTATCTAGATCACCATTGTAAAGCCAGACAAGGTACATGTAATTAAAGAATTAAATAAACAATAACTTTTAACATCAACTGTGATTATTAATTTTGTTTTCTGTTTAAAAAATGATTAAATCATGATTTCTCAACAAAAGCGGTTTTCGTTAAACTTGAGTTCGCCGACAACGATATTAGTTCAAATATCCCTACTTCATATAATGCAAAGTTTGCTTTAAAATATTAATTGTGACAGTTTCAGCATCCACAATGCCATAAACAATAAAAGTATTTACAGGAATTCATTTTACATACTATCGGCAATACATCTCAACGATCGACAAGACATATTTTTCTTAAATACCAGACGTTAAGATTTACACAGCATGTACAATCAAGTATTTATTTTATAATTGTTTATTTTGTTTTAAAACAAAATTATTGTAAGCAAAACAACTATTTGAAGCATTTACCAATTTTGAAATGTGTTTATTAATAAAACTAGGAATATAAACGCTATATGTTTTATTTCCAAATGCATAAATTTCATTGATATGTAATATAAAAAGAACAAGCACGTGTTGTTGAATCTTATTATTGTAACCCTATTATTACATGGATGTATTACGTAACAACCGGAACAAGCTAGTAACTATTAACAAGAGGCCCATGGGCCACATCGCTCACCTGAGAAGCTTTGACAATTCTCTAGATTTACCCTTTGTAATACATATTGTGACCCAACCCTACCCAACTGATCATAATTAAGACAATTTGAAATCTACACTACCCCAGGATGCTTCCATGTAAGTTTCAGCTTTTCTGGCCCAGTTGTTATTAAGAAGAAGATTTTCAAAGCCTTTTCCTATATATTTCTATGTAAAACTTTAAATTCCCCATTGTGTTCCCGCCCAATCCCCAGGGGTCATGATTTGAACAATTTAGAATCTACACTACCCCAGGATGCTTCCACATAAGTTTCAGCTTTTCTGGCACAGTGGTTCTTGAGAAGAAGATTTTCAAAGATGTTTCCTATATATTTCTATGTAAAACTTTGATTTCCCATTGTGGCCCCGCCCAATCCCCGGGGGTTATGATTTGAACAATTTAGAATCTACACTATCCCAGGATGCTTCCACATAAGTTTCAGCTTTTCTGGCTCAGTGGTTCTTGAGAAGAAGATTTTCAAAGATGTTTCCTATAAATTTCTATGTAAAACTTTGATTCCCCATTGTGGCCCCGCCCAATCCCCGGGGGTCATGATTTGAACAATTTAGAATCTACACTATCCCAGGATGCTTCCACATAAGTTTCAGCTTTTCTGGCACAGTGGTTCTTGAGAAGAAGATTTTCAAAGATGTTTCCTATATATTTCTATGTAAAACTTTGATTCCCCATTGTGGCCCCGCCCAATCCCCGGGGGTCATGATTTGAACAATTTAGAATCTACACTATCCCAGGATGCTTCCACATAAGTTTCAGCTTTTCTGGCACAGTGGTTCTTGAGAAGAAGATTTTCAAAGATGTTTCCTATAAATTTCTATGTAAAACTTTGATTCCCCATTGTGGCCCCGCCCAATCCCCGGGGGTCATGATTTGAACAATTTAGAATCTACACTATCCCAGGATGCTTCCATATAAGTTTCAGTTTTTCTGGCTCAGTGGTTCTTGAGAAGAAGATTTTCAAAGATGTTTCCTATATATTTCTATGTAAAACTTTGATTCCCCATTGTGGCTCCGCCCAATCCCCGGGGGTCATGATTTGAACAATTTAGAATCTACACTATCCCAGGATGCTTCCACATAAGTTTCAGCTTTTCTGGCACAGTGGTTCTTGAGAAGGAGATTTTCAAAGTGGTTCTTGAGAAGAAGATTTTCAAATATTTTTCCTATAAATTTCTATGTAAAACTTTGATTCCCCATTGTGGCCCCGCCCAATCCCCGGGGGTCATGATTTGAACAATTTAGAATCTACACTACCCCAGGATGCTTCCACATAAGTTTCAGCTTTTCTGGCTCAGTGGTTCTTGAGAAGAAGATTTTTTAATGACCCTACCCTATTTTTTGTCTTTTCTTAATTATCTCCCCTTGCGAGGGGATATGTCCCTTCATTTTAACAATTTAAATTTCCCTTCACCCAAGGATGCTTTGTACCAAGTTTATTTAAAATTGGCTCAGTGGTTCTTGAGAAGAAGTCGAAAATGTGAAAAGTTTACGGACGGACAGACGACGGACACAATGTGATCAGAAAAGCTCACTTGAGCCTTCGGCTCAGGTGAGCTAACAAGTACGTAAAATGTGCAAATTTCCAATGAACAACATACCGAAACGCGACAAAGGATGAAAAATGGCGGCATTCAAAAGTTGAAGTACGTAAACATCAATAAATTTACAGTTATGAAAATGTATTTATTTTATTTTTTAATTAAGGGGCCAGTAAAAATTTTGGTGGGCCAGTAAATTTTGAAAGTTCACTGGTCCGACTGGCCAGTTAGTTTGAAAAGTTTTCGTGAAGACTGAGTTTGACCCCCTGATCTTTGACCTTGTGACCTCAAAATCTGAAGGGGTCATCTACTCCTTAAGGGGAACCAATGTTTAAAGTTTGTTGCCTATCAAGCAAAGGGTTCTCAAGATATTGAGTGGTCAGTTTGACCCTTGACCTTTGACTTCAAAATCAATAGGGCTCATATTCTCCTTCAGAGGAACCAATGTTCTTAGTTTGATGCCTCTCAAGCAAAAGGGTTCTGAAGATATGAGCTGACATTATTTTTCCTACATCCAGAGTAGCTCTACCCTTGACCTTGTGACTTCAAAATCAATATGGGTCATCTACCCCTTAAGGTGAAGCAATGTTCTAAGTTTGATGTTTGTCAAGCAAAATGTTCTCAGGATATTGAGCGCACAACATGTCCTTATGTCCAGAGTAGTTTGACCATTGACCTTGTGACATACAGGCTCTCAGATAACCAAAAGTAGTGCTGTATGATGTGTTATATTAGTTTCCTATACAAGAGAAAATAAGCTTATCAAAAAACTTACAAGGTTTAGCCCTTTTCCTCTGTAAAGAACATGCATCATCACCATTATCTTCAAGCAAGTTTTTCATCTCTGAAATCATACATACATATAAACCATTATATTCCAGTCCACAGCTAAGTGCCTTTAAAATATCCCAAAATTTGACATAAAAAAATGTATGCACAACAAATGTATGCACAAACATTCGGAATGTTTTTAAATAATTTCATTAAATCTAATAAGGGCTATTCCAGGGGAAAAAAAAGTATGGGAGGGTTGGAAGGCACTCCTTATACTTTTTTGTGGGTAGTGGGGTGGGGACAATAGAATTCATATAAGTGGTTGTCCTCAGACAATATTTATTATAGGTGGATGCATTTACCCAAAAAAATATTCTTCTGCAAGATAATTCCTTAAATCAATACCTGTCCAATTTTCATCAAAACTTGCTCAAATTAACGTTTACAGTTGAGAGTGAAACTATATAGTACCTAACACACTAGAAACAAGTACAAATAACTATAAATGCACTTGTTAATACAGTGGGTCCCGTTTTATCCAATAGTCAAGTTGTCTGCCTTATTTTATCAGAGTAGCTGATTATTAGATTAGCCGATTGCTCCAGCGAGTCCAAACATTGGCGTATAGAGCTACATGTATTGATAATACATTGTAGCAAATTTCAAGCCAGCACTTTCGTTTTCATTTGATTACATTACTTAGTGACTTTCTTAAAATAAATTGTTTTACTTACTTGTGAATAATATGATAACATTTTCAAATAAACTGACATATAAATAATATTATTTGATAGTTATTGCCATCTTTATTCAGCACATGTTTACATTCCTTCTTCGATAGTCTCCATTTTGGAAATGGATGTAGACTAAATTCTTGACTCTATTCTGTAAACTATTTTCCCCCGGATAAATGGTGAATGAAAAATAAACAAAACTAGAAAACTGACCAGTCAGCAAGGGCCCCGCCATGGGGTGGAATTATAAGGATGCAGCTTATAGAATGATTAAAAAATATATGAAGAAATAAGCAACTGTATTCTTAAAATTTTCAACATAATTCCTGAATATCCAAAGACCTGTAAATAATATCCTTGTATATTTACATTAGGCAGTAAAGAACAACCTAACACTGAATGTATATATAAACAATAATGAAGTTTGTGTTTGTGTTATATAAAATGCCAGTCTTCAATGAATGCAAATACATGTATCATGAAGGATTGACCTTAACTTCAAAACAAACAGCAGTTGCAGACAAAGTTTTTCATTAATCTTAAAATGACAGATAAAGATAGGCCTACTAAATTTTCTTCAGCAGGCTAGATAATTAATCCCGAGGGATTAATTGTACCTCTCTCATCATTTTCTTCTAAAGTTACAATAGGAACTTTTTCAGTATTAATATTAGAATGGCTTAATCCAACTACCTTAAAAATTAAAATTCTTGAATTTACATAAAGGGAAAAAAGTAAAAATAAAAGATATGTCTTCTTTAATCTATTTCTTGTTTTTAGAATTCAATGAAATCATAACTCATTGTGTAGGTATTTTAACCAAAATAAAGTATAAACATTTATATCTAAATCCACATTTCAGAGTGTTCATAGCATTCCAAATTGACTGAACTTCAAAACAAACTTCATTTGCAGACAGAGGTGGTAATTAATCTCAATGTGACAGATAAAGATAATGCTTGGGATTTTCTTCAGGAGGAAAGCTAATTAATCCCAAGGGACTCATAGCAGCATTCAGTTTTCAATGGAAACATCTTTAGCAGTTATCTCTCTTTGCTAAAGCATTCTTCTATAAAGTTAAGGAATATACCCCACCACCCCAGCTCCAAACCAACGGTCATAGAGAAACAAACTTAGCATCAAAATATGTCTTTCTGCCTATTGAACTACCATACCAAATTTGATCTTAATTGGGCAACCATAAAAAAAGTTATTAGGAAAAAACAGGAAATTTGTGGACAGAAGAAAGACAGACGGACAGACAGAGTGATTACTATAGGGCACCCGCAAATCCTTGCGGGGCCCTAAATATTAAATTGTTTCATTTTTATTTCTTTAATAAGGTTACGTATTTTATACTGTATGTGACAATTCTCTGGTCTATGGGTTTACCAGTATCGTCCTTGTCTGCTAAAGAGATATTTTAAGAGCCATGTGGAGAGAGATATGGTATGGATTTTGAGACGTATATTTACAGTGGCTGGAACGTTATTGTTGACAACTTACACGAACGATCACGTTACACGAACGATTCCGCACGATTAACGCACGATTAAACCTGTTACACGAACGATCTTTCACGTTCACGATTCTACACGTTACACGATCTTACACGATTGTTAACGCAAACGCACGATTCTTCACTTAAAATAGTTCAAAATATTTAGGATTCAATATTTTAAAAACGAAATACGGCTTAATAATTATTTCAGATTTCAAAGAATTATCAATATTATTTCATAGACTTTGAAGAAAAAAAAGGAAAATTATATTTCTGTAACTAAATATATGCAAGACTTAATATTTTGGATTAAAAATAATTATTTCTAAGGTAATTCTCTGATCAAAAAAAAAGGAATCTATTCAATCTATTAGACGATGTACATGTATGTGGGTCGTATAATTTGATTGAATTGGATATCATGATATGCAGAAAGGGGGATACGATTGAACAAAAATGGCAGGATGGAATGACTTAAATTATAATTACAAATTTTATCCTTATGTTTCCAATGATTCAATGTCTGATAAACTTGCCAGTTATTCAACTTTTTTATTTGCAGAAATTTAAAATTAATTAATTACAAATAGGCTCAAGAGATGAACACAGATAATCAAAACTCCCGAAAATCATGCCGTGTCCATGTATATTTGTCGACTAACTAGTTATGTAAGCATTGAGAAATGTTTATTTCTTTGTAAAAAAAAAATATATTTATTTTCAATGAATTGATTTCAAGATTATCTTGACCACAATAAGAAGTAAATAATAATTAAAATCAGATTTTTCAAAAAGGCGTTAAAGATCTAAGTACGGTTTATCACAATATTGATCGCGCTATTTGACAAGAACTTAATATTGTATGACTTACTATATTGCTTGTTTCAAGCGATAATTAGTCCGTTCTGCATTCTATTATGTAAATAGCGCTTTTTCATTTTTTGGATTAATTAATAAATTAAGAAAAACAAACAAGGGAAATGCTTATTTTACAAATAATATTCCGATAAAAACTTACAAAACGAAATTTACATGATTCTAAACGCACGATCTCGCACGCTTAAAAACGCACACGATTGAGTCTGATACACGAACGATCTCGCACGTTAAACGAACGATCACTCATGATACACGAACGATTCTACACGATTGGTTTGTCAACAATAACGTTCCAGCCACTGTATACAGGTCCTTTGTGATTTTAACCATAAAATTTGCACTTTAAAGTGAACAAATATTAAGTCAAATGACCAAGTTAAATGATTAAATAATCTAATTATGATGCTTTTCAATGTAGGGGCTGACAAATCTCATTGCCCGACGCCCGAGACTAGTGAATTTTGGGGATGGGCAAGGGATTTTTTATCAACCACTTGCCCAAGGGCAAGTGACTTTTTCAAAACAAAAAAATAACTAGAACTGTCCAAACGGGACAAAATACCCCCCGCTGGGTTTTTCAGAAGTAAGTTCTTCCATAATAAAGATATGTATCAAACACGAATAATGAAATTTTTATTCCAGTGACCTTGAACTTCCTCAAATGACCTTGGGTTATGGTCATGACACACCCTTGGGTCATGGGCAATCTTTGAGTGAAATGAGAACCTACCAAGTTTATCCATAAGAAAGATATGAACCGGACACGAATTATGAAATTTTTCTTCCAGTGACCTTGAACTTCCCCAAATCACCTTGGGTCAAGGTCATGACACACCCTTGGGTCATGGAAAATCTTTGTGTGAAATGAAAACCTACCAAGTTTATCCATTAGAAAGATATAGACCAGACACGAATTATGAAATTTTTCTTCCAGTGACCTTGAACTTCCCCAAATCACCTTGGGTCAAGGTCATGACACACCCTTGGGTCATGGGCAATCTTTGAGTGAAATGAGAACCTACCAAGTTTATCCATTAGAAAGATATGGACTGGACATGAATTACGAAATTTTTCTTCCAGTGACCTTGAACTTCCCCAAATCACCTTGGGTCAAGGTCATGACACACCCTTGGGTTATGGGCAATCTTTGAGTGAAATGAGAACCTACCAAGTTTATCCATTAGAAAGATATGGACCGGACATGAATTATGAAATTTTTCTTCCAGTGACCTTGAACTTTCCCAAATCACCTTGGGTCAAGGTCATGACACACCCTTGGGTCATGGGCAATCTTTGAGTGAAATGAGAACCTACCAAGTTTATCCATAAGAAAGATATGGACCTGACACGAATTATGAAATTTTTCTTCCAGTGACCTTGAACTTCCCCAAATCACCTTGGGTCAAGGTCATGACACACCCTTGGGTCATGGGCAATCTTTGTGTGAAATGAGAGCCTACCAAGTTTAACCACAAAAGATACATCTCAAATATGATTTATGATATTTTTCTTACAGTGACATTGAACTTCCTCAAATGACCTTGGGTCAAGGTCATGACACACCCTTGGGTCATGGGCAATCTTTGTGTGAAATGAGAACCTACCAAGTTTATCCATAAGAAAGATATGGACCGGACACGAATTATGAAATTTTTCTTCCAGTGACCTTGAACTTCCCCAAATGAACTTGGGTCAAGGTCATGACACACCCTTAGGTCATGAGCAATCTCAGTGTGGAGTTGTAGATTCTAATGTCCCTCTGTTAGAAAGATATGGACCGGACACGATTGCACAGACAGACGGACGGACAGACGGACAGCTAGACAGACGGACAAGGTGATTCCTATATACCCCCCCCAAACTTCGTTTGCGGGGGGTATAAAAATCTTAGTTTTAAGTGGATAGGGTACTTGAAATAATCATTTTTTGTCTTCCTACTTTTCATAGTTTAAAGTAAAAATTCAGGTAGGGCAATTGAATTTTGACCATGTACTCGTCCATGGGCAAGTACTTGAAAAATCTATTTGTCAGCCCCTGCAATGTCCAAGCAAATTGTCATATGCAAGCTAATCAGTTTAATAATTAAAATTTCATGCCGAAAAAATTGCAAACAATTGTCATAATTAAGATCCATTCTCTGTAACGACTTACGCGTAGTCTCAGAATTTCTCCAAACTCTCTATGATAAAAGTTTTTGATACCGTAAACTCAAATCAGGCAGAAAATGGTTGCTATGTGTCATGGTTACTATGGCAACATCTCCTAAAGTTTGAAAAATGGAATTTTTCAACATGTTCAGAGTCCCACAGTTAATGTTTGCAGCAAAGCAAACAAGTGGCAATGATTGTTTCTGGAAGTTGAAGGCCTGATGTCTTAAATGCATGATAAACATGTTTAATAAATCAAATATTACATACGTTACTATGGAAACAAAGTATTCAAAAGTATTAATTTTGCTCATTTAATTTTAAAAAAATCATGCACTTAAGAATTAAAAAAAATCATAGGTTGAAATGCAAGCAAATAATAGATAAAAGATCCTTGCGACATTTACCAAGGAAGAAATATGATATTTATTACAGGTTGGCAATGGTTGCCATGGTTTTAATTCCAAGAAGGGATTTTAAATTTATTCTCTTAGTGTTTAAATCTAATCCTATCTTTTTATATGCATATTTCTATATAACTAAGGATAAATTTTTAGAGATGTTCATGTAACCCTAATTTTCACATTTCAAAAAATTCAAATTCAATTCTTTAAATAAAGGATGTCAAAATAATTATTTTCCTTAGTCGATTATTTGATTGCATTATTCGAATGCTAGTCGAATATTCGGAACATTTTCTGAAAATGAAATTTTATTTCAAACTTCTCTGGTACACGACTTATTTACAATCCCCCAAAACCCTTTTTACTTAAATCTGTTTGAAAAGTAACATCAAAATTAATCCAACATGTTGATAGTACGATTACATGAAATAAATTTAGAGAGCTAATTCCCCAAATTTATGATTTCCAAGTCAGTCAAATTCATAAATGGGTCTGTATAGTTAGTTTTTAAAAAAATTATTTTAGTAAGCATTAAGAAATTGCCTACCGATATTTTTTAAAGCTTATTATGAAATTAATCAGGGTGGGGTGGGGGTAATCTCACACTATCCAAACATCAGGTGCCTGTGATATGCAGTCAGATACTGATTAATGAGTTATTGGTTGCTCCGGCTATCAAGGTTTTCTCATGCAAGGGGCAATAACTAAAAAAGGGGTCAGAGTTAGGAGTCATGAGTGGAACTTTTGACAAAGTTTCAAAAGAGCATCTGAACAAAGCAATAATTTTTATAATAGGTTGATAGACAAAAGAACAGTCCAAATTCCTCATAGTCTAGATGACCTTGATCTAAGTTTCAAGGTCAAAGGTTGTCAACTTTGTCGCAGTTAGTCCCATGTTTCTACGATTGATCGTTTAAAAAAATTCAGTTAATGTTAACAGCAAAAACTCTCAGGGGCATTAACTCATAGAAGGGCTCAATGAATGCTTTCGCAATGAATAGATTCAAAAGTCACCTAAATTAGTCCAAGACATTGGTGAAGATTTGGTATCGCTACGGTTTGCGGTTTCAGAGGAGTAGCGAAAACAAGGTTTATCATTGCAAGGGGCGATAACTTTATGAGGGGTGAAAGTTCAAGTACGCAGGGTCAACTGCAATAATGCTTTGAGAAGTCTATTATCATGAACTATATATCTTTTCGATAACTTATGCAACAAAAAATCACTCGGTGAAAAAAAATGATAAAAATAATAACTAATAGACTAATTGTTCACAGAACAATTAGAGGTCTTTCCACCTTCTTTAATTTTTTGAAAATTTCTTTTATATTTACCTTTTCATAGTAAAATTTCGAATAAAAAGAAACCAGAAATGGCTTCAAAACTAAGAAAAATGAAAGTTTTCAACAACAACAAAAAAATTTAAAGTGACCTTGACCTTGAAGAAATATTCAAGGTCCAGGTTCACATTGCACTTGACTCCATGCTTCTACGACCCTTAGTTTTTAAAGTTATAAGGTTTAATAGTATGTGCAAAGGCGTTAAAAGGTGATAACTCATGTAAGGGGTCATCGGATCCTTTCGCTCTGAATAGATTAAGTTGTGTATATAGACCCTGAAGACATTAGTAAAGGTTTTGTGCCTCTGTGGTTTACAGTTTCTGAGGTGTATCAATAACAAGGTTTTTAGTGAAAGAGGCAGTAACTTTTAAAAAGGTAAATCTTAGGGGAAAAGTATAAATTATTTGATATAGTTTTAAGAGGACATATTAAAGATGCAAAGATATTTAGTATATGTTGAAAGACAAAAGAGATATAAAAAGTGCTAAATATCTCATATTTTGAATGACCTTGATCTCTGACCTTCACAAAAATTTAAAGGTCTGATATCAAAGAATCAAATGCAGTTGGTTTCATGTCTCTATGGCTTATAGTTTTGAAAATTTTTTATTATTTGTAAACATCAAAAACTTCTCAGGGTCATGTGCAAAAAACTTTCAAGGAGTACATTCTTACGGACTATTTATCTTTTCGATAAAACTTGAAACTCAAAATCACACGGCGGAAAAATAATAAACAAGAGGCCCATGGGCCACATCACTCACCTGAGCACATGGCTTGGTGAAAGCACAAATCGGTTCAGTATTGAAAAGATTACTTGGGGGGGGGGCTTGAATTTTAAACTACCTGATGATTCTTCCATGTCAATATAACAAATGGCTTTGTTGTACTTGAGTATATTTTTAAAAGAAATGTCCCATATATTCCTTTGTAAAAATTTGATCCCCCAATATTTACATTTCCAATGTCTTTGTCCAAGATAAAATTACCAATTGTAAATGTAATTTATTTCCTCCTGAATGTTTTGGCGCGGTTCCAAAAAAACCACATGCAGGGCGGGACAACACCTAGAGAGAAGCAGGCTTGGAGCCCCGTGGATTGGCGGAATCAAAGCATGTAAATATAAGGAATAACTGTCAGATTTTTCGAATTCATGAAGATGATCAATGGATTGGCTTGTGTGATAATTTTATGCATAAATGCCTTCGGCATTTATGCAAATTACCACATTTGTTTAAAATATATACACATGTATTACAGCAATTACAATCTTTTCAGCTGTCAAAATCATGTCGACTTTCACGGGATTTAAAACGAAAGTAGAATGGTAGATGAATACCGATCCCGATCAGAATTAAGACGAAGAAAAACAGAAATAAAAAAAATCGAGGCGGGGGTATAAAATCGGGGCGGGCGGGGATGAGAATCTAGGAATATTTTTATTATGGCCTAATTGGCATTGTGGCTCCTCCCTATACCAGGGGTCATCATATGAACAAACTTGAACCTACACTACCTGAGGATGCTTCCATATCAATATGACTAAACATAGCTTTTCTGTTTTTGAGAAGAAATATTTTTCCTATATGTTCTTATGTAAAACTTTTGATCCTGCATTGTGGCCCGACCTTATCCCTAGGGGTCATCATTTTAACAAACTTTAATCTACACTACCTGAGGATGCTTCCATATCAAAATGACTAACCATGGCTTTGCAGTTCTTCTTCAGAAGAAATTTTCTGATATTTTTCTATTTAAGACTTTGATCCTCCATTGTGGCCCCACCCTACCCCCAAGGGGTCATGATTTGATCCAAATAGAACCTACACTACCTGAGGATGCTTCCATATAAATATGATCAATCAGGGCTTTGCTGTTTCTGAGAAGAAGATTTTTAAAGATATTTCCTATATATTTCAAAAACTTAGTCCTTTGTGGCCCCGCCCTACCCCCGGGGGTCATGATTTGAACAAACTTGAATCTACACTACATGAGGATGCTGACATATAAATGACTCATCATGGCTTTGCTGTTCTTGAGAAGAAGATTTTAAAGATTTTTCTTATATATTTCTATGTAAAACTTTGATCCTCCATTGTGGCCCCGCCAAGAATACTTTGTTGCAAGTTTGGTTGAAATTGGCCCAGTAGTTCTGGAGAAAAAGATGAAATTGTGAAAAGTTTACAATGATGACACCGACAACAGACAACAGACAAATTTTGATCAGAAAAGCTCACTTGAGCCTTTGGCTCAGGTGAGCTAAAAATAAGAAACAGAAGAAAATCAATATTTCTATTGAATTATTGTATTTTATTATTATTGAATTTTAACCCCCCAGGGGTTCATGATTTGAACAAACTAGAATCTACACTACCTGAAAATGATTCCATATTAATATCACTAATCATAGCTTTGAAGTACTTGAAAAGATGATTTTAAAAGGTTTCCCTATAAATCCCTATGTAAAACTTTGGTTAGCCATTTTGGCCCCACCCTAGCCTGGGGGTCATGATATGAACAAACTTGAATCTACACTACCTGAGGATGATTCCACATGAGTTTCATCTTTCCTGGCCCAGTTGTTCTTGAGAAGAAGATTTTTAAAGATTTTTCCTATATATTCCTATGTAAAACTTGAGTCGGCCATTTTGGCCCCACCCTAGCCCCGGGGGTCATGATTTGAACAAACTTGAATCTACACTACCTGAGGATGATTCCACATGAGTTTCATCTTTCTTGACCGAGTGGTTCTTGAGAAAAAGATTTTTTTAAAATGCCATTAATTTTTAACAAATTCATGATTATCTCCCCTTGGAAAAGGGTGAGGCCCTTCATTTGAACAAACTTGAATCCCTTCACCCAAGGATACTCTGTGCCAAGTTTGGTTGAAATTGGCCCAGTGGTTCTTGAGAAGAAGATGCCTTCGGCTCAGGTGAGCTAAAAAAATATAAAAGTACACACCTAAAGATTCACTTTCATTATGCATTTCACTGTCCTGGTCATCTACAAAATAATAAGTATAATAACTAATTTGCTAGGATAGAAACCACAGAAAAACTTATCAAGCTTGCCATTCATAAAAAGGTATCCTTGACCCATATAAAATAATTTACGATTCCTGTGGCATGCAAAACTTACCTGAACTACTGTACTTTGTTATAACAGAGTGCAAGTCAGAAT